GATCTTGCTTCTCTATTTCTTTTAATTGTGATGTTAGGGTGTCAATTTTAGAACTTTCCTACTTTCTCTAGAAAACTAGATTTTCTAGTTTATTTGTGTAGAGGTGTTTATAGTATTCTCTGATGGTCATTTGTATTTCTGTAGGATCAGTGGTGATCTCCTCTTTATCATTTTTTATTGTGTCTATTTGATTCTTCTCTCTTTTCTTCTTTATTTGTCTGGCTAGCGGTCTATCTATTTTGTTGAACTTTTCAAAAAAACAGCTCCTAGATTTATTGATTTTTTTTCAAGGGTTTTTCGTGTCTCAGTCTCCTTCAGTTCTTCTCTGATCTTAGTTATTTCTTGTGTTCTGCTAGCTTTCAAATTTGTTTGCTCTTGCTTCTCTAGTTCGTTTAATTGTGATGTTAGGGTGTTGATTTTAGATCTTTCCCTCCTTCTGATGTGGACATTTAGTGCTATAAATTCCCCTCTAAACACTGCTTTACTATACCAGAGATTCTAGTACATTATGTCTTTGTTCTCATTGGTTTCAAAGAACTTGTTTCTTAATTTTGTTATTTACCCAGTAGTCATTCAGGAGCAGGTTGTTCAGTTTTCATGTTGTTGTGTGGTTTTGAGTGAGTTTCTTAATCCCGAGTTCTAATTTGATTGCACTGCGGTCTGAGAGGCTGTTATGATTTCTGTTCTCTTTCATTTGCTGTGGAGTATTTTACTGCCAATATGTGGTCAATTTTATAAGTACGAAGTGGTGCTGAGAATAATGTATATTCTGTTGATTTGGGGTGGAGACTTCTGTAGATGTCTATTAGGTCTGCTTGGTCCAGAGCTGAGTTCAAGTCCTGACTATCCTTGTTAATTTGCTGTCTTGTTGATCTGTCTAATACTGACAGTCGGGTGTTAAAGTCTCCCACTAGTATTGTGTGAGAGTCTAAGTCTCTTTGTAGGTCTCTAAGGACTTGCTTTATGAATCTGGGTGCTCCTGTTTTGGGTGCATATGTATTTATGATAGTTAGCTCTTGTTGCATTGATGCCTTTTATGTAATGCCCTTCTTTGTCTTTTTTGATCTTTGATGGTTTAAAGTCTGTTTTATCAGAGACTAGCATTGCAACCCCTGCTTTTTTTTGCTTTCCATTTGCTTGGTAAATGTTCCTCCATCCCTTTATTTTGAGTCTGTGTATGTCTTTGCATGTGAATTGGGGCTCCTGAATACAGCACACTGATGGGTCTTGACTTTATCCAATTTGTCAGTCTGTGTCTTTTAATTGGGGCATTTGGTCCATTTACATTTAAGGTTAATATTATTATGTATGAATTTGATTCTGTCATTATGATGGTAGCTGGTTATTTTGCCTGTTAGTCGATGCAGTTTCTTCATAGTGTCAATGGTTTTTATGATTTGGTATGTTTTGCAGTGGCTGGTCCTGATACTTCCTTTCCATATTTAATCCTTTCTTCAGGATCTCTTGTAAGGGAAGCCTGGTAGTGACAGATCTCTCAGGATTTGCTTGTCCATAAAGGATTTTATTTTTCCTTCACTTATAAAGCTTAGTTTGGCTGGATATGAAATTCTGGGTTGAAAATTATTTAAGAACTTTAAGAGAGTTGAACATTGTCCCCCCACTCTTTTCTGACTTGTGGGGCTTCTGCAGAGAGATCCACTGTTAGTCTGATGGGCTTCCCTTTGTGGGTAACCTGACATTTCTCTCTGACTGCCCTTAACATTTTTTCCTTCATTTCAGCCTTGATGAATCTGAGGATTATATATCTTGGCATTGCTCTTCTCAAGGAGTGTCTTTGTGTTGTTCTTTGTATTTCCTGAAGTTGAATGTTGGCCTGTCTTGCTAGGTTGGGTAAGTTCATATGCTTATGAAGTAAGTACTCATGCTGTGTTTTTCAGCTCCATCAGGTCATTTATGTCCTTCTCTAAACTGGTTATTCTAGTTAGCTATTCCTCTAACCTTTTTTCAAGGTTCCTTGCATTGGGACCTTCTTAGCTTCCTTGCATTGGGTTAGAACATGCCCATTTAGCTCAGAGGAGTTTGTTATTACCCACATTCTGAAGCCTACTTCTGCCAATTCATCAAAGTCATTGTCTATTCAGTTTAGTTCCCTTGCTGGTGAGAAGTTGTGATCCTTTGGAGAAGAAGAGGTGTTCTTGTTTTTTGCATTTTCAGCTTTTTTTGTGCTGGTTTTTCCTCATCTTTGTGGATTTACGTACCTTTCGGCTTTGATGTTGGTGACCTTTGGATGGGGTTTCTGTGTGGACTTTTTTTTTGTTGTTGATTTTGATGCTATTTCTTCCTATTTGTTAGTTTTCTTTTTTACAGTCAGGACCCTCTGCTGCAGGTCTGATGGAGTTTGCTGGAGGTCCACTCCAGGCCCTGTTTGCCTGGGTATCAGCAGTGGAGGCTGCCAAACAGCAAAGATTGCTGCCCGTTCCTTTCTCTCAAAGCTTTGTTCCAGAGGGGCACCCGCCAGATGCCCATGGAGCTCTCCTGCTGGAAGCTTTCTCCCAGTCAGGAGGCACAGGGATCAGGGACCCACTTAAGGAGGCAGTCTGTCCCTTAGCAGAGGTCAAGCGCTATGCTGGGAGATCTGCTGCTCTCTTCAGAGCCGGCAGGCGGGAATGTTTAAGTGTGCTGAAGTTGACCCCACGGCCACTCCTTCCCCCAGGTGCTCTGTCCAAGGGAGATGGGAGTTTTATCTATAAGCCCCTGACTAGGGCTGCTACCTTTCTTTCAGAGATGCCCTGCCCAGAGAGGAGGAATCTAGAGAGGCAGTCTGGCTACAATGGCTTTGTGGAGCTGTGGTGGGCTCTGCCCCGTAGGAAATTTCCAGCAGCTTTGTTTACACTGTGATGGGAAAACTGTCTACTCAAGCCTCAGTAATGGCAGATGCCCCTCCTTCCACCAAGCTTGGGTGTCCCAGGTTGACTTCAGACTGCTGTGATGCCAGCAAGAATTTCAAGCCAGTGGATCTTAGCTTGCTGGGCTAAGCTAAGATCCAAATGGGGGTGGCATTTGCTGAGCTAGACAACTTGGCTCCCTCGCTTCAGCCCCTTTCCAGGGGAGTGAACGGTTCTGTCTTACTGGTGTTCCAGACGCCACTGGGGTATGAAAAAAGACTCCTGCAACTAGCTTGATGTCTGCCCTAACTGCTGCCTAGTTTTGTCCTTGAAACCCAGGGCCCTGTTGACGTAGGCACCCAAGGGAATCTCCTAGTCTGAGGGTTTCAAAGACTGTGGGAAAAGTGTAGTAACTGGGCTGGAATGCACTGTTCCTCATGGCACAGTCCCTCACGGCTTCCTTTGGCTAGAGGAAGGAGTTCCTGGACTACTTGCACTTCTCAGGTAAGGCAACACCCCACCCTGCTTCAGCTTGCCCTCCATGGGCTGCACCCACTGTCTAACCAGTCCTAGTGAGATGAGCCAGGTACCTCAGTTGGAAATGCAGAAATTTCCCACCTTCTGCGTTGATCTCGCTGGGAACTGCAGAGCAGAGCTGTCCTATTCAGTCATCTTGCCAGCCTTCTCAGTATGATATTTTAAAAGCCCTTTGGATCTGATGAACTTGAACACTTTATCTTAATATTAAACATTGTCTCTGTTCTCTATTTTTGTTAGAAATGACCTGACATTATATACAAAGGGTATTTGAAAAACGACACTTAGAGTTCCTCCTGTCTTTATAACCCATTTATGACCTTTCCCTAAAAGTGCTATTTATGGTAAATTGACATGTATTTCTTTATTATGTGGCTGGGAAGACACATTAACTTTTTATAGTACGTGATTGGACTTGTAATTGATACAATGGGAAAAAGTAGCTTAAGAATACCCTGGATGGTAGGTTTGGGAAAGATAATTTGTGGAAATCTTAAAAAGAAATCCCAAAGTATATTCTCTGACAGAGTTTGGAAAGCTTTTTCTGTTAAAACACCAGTTGGTAATATTGTAGACTTTAAGAAACTGCTTATGTTTCAGTCACATAATCTTTGATTTTTAAAAAACTCTTTAAAATATATAAAAAATCCATTCTTAGCTCAAGGACAGTATAAAAAGCCACTGAGCTATGCTCTCTAGAGGCTGAAAAAGCTAGTCTGCCATATTCACAAAGATTTATCCTCTTATTTCATGTAATAAGTGTTCGACATGTCATTTGCTCTTTGAGTCTTCCAATTGGCAGGTCTAGCACTAGGTATGATGCTCCATCTTGAGAAATTACCTTCACCCAGGTTACTGAATGCAGCAGTTTGAAGGACTACAAAATAGAACATTAAAAAGGGATTTATAAATCTAAACCCATTTAATAGGTGTGCAATCAGGACACCGTGTAAACAGAAATGCATAAACTCAGTTGACTGGCCAAAGTGTCTGCAAGCATAGAAGCTTGCTTATACTTTGCTAAGGTAGTCCAGCTTAGATTCACCAGTATGTAGCTGGCTATGGGAGAGTTGACACAGCTGAGAGAGAGGATGAAAAGGCCATTCCAGGGTGACTAGGTAGAAAGTGTTTTAACTATTTACCCTGACAGTATCTTTATCATTTGTAGGTATAACAATATATGGTTACAAATGAATATATACAAGCAAACTTTTATATATGATCATTTTCTTAGGGTATCTCAAGAAACATAATGGGCAAGTTGGACAAAGAGATTCTCCAATTTGAGAAGGAAAATCTCAAGAATGAAATAGTAATAAGGGATAAATCCTAGTCAACTGTGATCAACTGGACTATATCCCTCAAACTTTAAACTCCAGTGCCATTACCCACCCCGGGAAGGATCTTCCAAATCTTTTTGAATAAAACATTATTTTGCCTATCTCTTTGAGGCATCACTTGATTTTAGAGACATAGAATATTGCACTTTTTACTGACATTTAGAATAATTAAAAATTGATAGATTTTTAAAATACATATGACAAACTGCTTTATTGAATGCTTAAGCAAAAATGTAAACATTGAGAAATGTATGTTAATGTTTTCTCTTGGTTTCAGGTTCTGGGCATCCAAGTGAAATGCTTCCATGAAATTATCACTATAGGTTATAGAGTCTATCATTCTTATGATCTGCCATGGTTTAGAACACTAAGTTGGTAAGTAAGCTTGAAACTATTTCAGATATGAAAAGTTGATTTCTAAAGTTTGTAAAGGAAGCATCTTGATCTGTCAGTATCCATTCAATTTACTCAACAGATTGATTCTGGAGAAAGATAAATAAAAATAATGTAATTGAAATTTGAAAAGAAGATCACCTTTTTCTTTCCCATTCCAATAGGACTTTTTTCAGATCTTGTATTTTAGTCTTTTTAGAGATATCTAATATATGTTTAATATATACACCATTCTTGTCCTGTTTTTAAAATAAAAAACTAAACATTGTATTGGACACATTTTTATATTCTTTACAATAATAACTAGCAAAATATTTACATATCTTTTCCTTCATTTCCCCTCAGTTGACGTGAGAACATACAAAATATTGTATATATACAAATTCATGTGAAGTTAATAACAAAATCACCAAATGATTTTAACATTTAAAATTTTACATCTTTTAAAACTTTTCATTATAAATTACTGCTATCAAAACCTTGACTAGGAAACGTGATAATGTTATAGTTCATATTTAACCCAAGTGGCCATGCTTTTTAATATAGTTGATTAATATCAACCAGGGAGTCAGTGTCTTATTAAATAGATGGGGTTTAGAATAGTCAAAGGAAGTGTCTTGATTTTGGTGTTAGCTGACTTTTCCTTCTAGCAGGTTTCTTCATCAGTGGCAAAGTATACAGGAAATGTCAGATAGGTAAAGTAGTTGGAGAATAATTAAATGCAAAACCATGCTGTATTAATTCTAATTATTTAAAAAAGGAGAAGATAAATCAGGATGGGCTCCAGTGATTATAGAAGGTGTCAGAAGAGGTAAAAGATAAACTGGTATTTGAAATGAAGACAAATTTTAGATGAAGAGATTTCTGGTTGGGGAGATAGTACCCATCAGTTTCTACATGTGAGACAGACGCACTGTATACTCCAGTTGATGAGACATTCCTGGCCCTCCTGAGCCGAGGGTATTGATCAGAGGACAGTGGGTACATAGTTGGATTGGTGGACCAGGTTAGGCCTCGATTGCTTTACAGAGGAAGAATCCCTGCTCATCTGGAGTCCATGGGGAGCATTAGAAAAGGCAAAAAGATGCCATTGTGTGTAGGGCAGTAGGGAGAGAGGTTGAATTACCTCTTCTTTCTTTCCCTCTTAATCTTCCTGAGGGCAGGTGGATATTTGTCTTAGGACTTCTACTATTAAAAAAGCATTAGAACTGTGAGTAGTTAGGAGTTAATTTTCCTTTTTTTTTTTTTTGAGACAGAGTTTTGCTCTTGTTGCCCAGGCTGGAGTGCAATGGCACAATCTCGGCTCACTGCAACCTCCGCTTCCCAGGTTCAGGAGATTCTCCTGCCTCAGCCTCCCAAGTAGCTGGGATTACAGGCTCGCGCCACCACGCCTAGCTAATTTTGTATATTTAGTGGAAATGGGGTTTCTCCATGTTGATCAGGCTGGTCTTGAGCTCCCGACCTCAGGTGATCTGCCTGCCTTGGCCTCCCAAAGTGCTGGGGTTACAGGCATGAGCTACCGCGACTGGTGGAGTTAATTTTCATTATGAGCTTAATACCTCAGTATATACACACACAGATTATACATACATACAAAGTATTAAAATCATACATCACACACATACACACATTATACATACACACAAAGTATTAAATTTATACACACATACACACACACACACACACACACACACACACACACACACCCCACCCCCACCTCCCAAGGGTGAGGGATTGTGTGTGTGTAGTATTTTCTACATCGTCTCCTAATTATCTCTGGCATTAGATTTTCAGCTAAAGGTATGAACTATATTTGGTAAATTTTTGCTAATCAATACATTTGAAATTAAGTTTGAAACAGGAGAATAGCATTTTGGTAAAATATATCTTGAATTGGTCTTCTGAACTTGGTTTTGATCATTATGTCATCAGAATGTAGAAAATAATTCTGTTGAGTTTGAGGGGAAGGAAAGCTTCAAATATAGCAAAGCTAATTGTTTTTAAATTATAGGTACTTTCTATTGTGTGTAAACTACTTTTTCTATGGAGAGACTGTAGCTGATTATTTTGCTACATTTGTTCAAAGAGAAGAACAACTTCAGTTCCTCATTCGCTACCATAGATTTATATCATTTGCCCTCTATCTGGCAGGTAAGTTAAGGAATATTCTGTATTGATATGTAGCTAACACATTTTCCATGTTTATTTTTATTTATATTATTTAAATTCATAACTTTTTTGCTAAATTTTATTCTAGCCTCTCTTTTTCATTGTTTCTCATGTATAAACGTATTTCTTTCCTCATGTTCTTAAATAGCAATTATCCCTTGTGGTGGGTTTAAAAAGTGTTTATTAAGAATCACTCCATGTGTTTGAACATTTTCTTTGCAAATTGCAGTAAAAAAAACTTTTAAGCAAATAAAAACTATTACCCAAATACAATTTACGAAGAAGCTTTCACATATATATTGTGTTATTTGTCCCGAGGAAATAGAGCTTTTTCATGTAGAATTAATCAGACTAATTAGTTTTTTAGACATAGTTTATTATATATGCAACTTTGTTTATAGTAGGCTATGCCACGTGTTTTTATAATTTTTAAATTAAAATTTACATTCTTAAGTTATAATTTACAGATATCTTTTCCATAAAATTTTACAGATCATAAAAAAAAATTCCCTAAGAAATTGATTTTTTTAATGTGCTTTTTAAAAACCACATTGCTCATGTGAATTCTGGACCTACCAATTACTGAATGAGTAAACAATGAGATATTTAATTAATTTGTCTGTGCTTCAGTTTCTTTGTAAAGCACTTAGAATAGTACCTGGCACTATTTAAATTTTGTTTTTTTATTATTTCCACTTTGAAAGAAGAAAATGAAATTTATTTGTGAGTTTTCACATTAGCTGTTAATAGTTATTGTTTTAACTTCTAGGAGTCTCCCAGTAAATAAATTTTTCTCAAGGTACAATTTTGGAAACTGAGTAATTCTTTTCCATTTCTCTTTAAAAATACTCGGGGTATGTGGGAAAGCATGTCCAGTCTGTTAGAAGTATGCTATTTCATTAAATAGTTATGATGCCTTCATGGTGCTCCTAAGCACCTTCAGTTCCTGGGCCTTCTAAGTCTAAAAAGCCAGAAAGTGAAATACAATCTGAAATGATAATGGGAATTTCAGATAATTTTTTTTATATCATTAGGAGGAATACATTTTTGAAGAATTTTCCACCTTTTACATTCAGGATTTTTGTTAATTTTTTTAATTTTTAATTTAATTTTATTTTTGTAGATATTCGGTCTCCCCATGTGGTCCAGGCTGGTCTTGAATTCCTGGGCTCAAGGAATCCTTCTGCCTTGGCTTCTCAAAGTGCTGGGGTTACAGGCACAAGCCACTGCACCCAGCCTTACGTTCAGGTTTATTTTTCAGTTCAGCTTTCCAAATCTGTTCCTTCATTTAAAAAAACTTTTTACTGCTGTGTCTATAAAAAGTACATTCATAGAAATAGGTATTGAAAAATTTCTACTCTTTTAAGGGTATTCATTTGATGGTAGTTGGTCTATTTTAAATTCTGACCAATTTGAGGGATTATGATCTTGGAAAGATTATGATTGTTATCAGTTAAGAAGATCATACTAAAATTTTGGAGGGTAAAACATTCGCCTCTGATTCTGTGTTTATCAAAGGACATTTGTGCAATTTTTTTCTTGGTAGAAAATGTGAGAATTTTCTCTCGTTTACCAAATCAATAAGCTTGATTTATTTTGTTAAAGGTAAGGCAGATTCTGGAATGGATGCTTTTGTATTACAGGAGAGAAGAATGTAGTATCTTCTTTCTCAGTTTATGTTTAAAATAATAAGACTTCTGGCATTTTGAGTTTTGATAATAATAGTCAAAGTGTCTATGGTATCTTCTGTTATTGAACCCAACATTTTATTTCATGTGATTATTCTTATAATTATTTAAAAACAATTGTGGGCTGATCATGGGGCTCACACCTATAATCCCAGCACTTTGGGAGGCTGAGGCAGGTGGATTGCTTGAGGTCAAGAGTTCAAGACCAGCCTGGCTAACATGGCGAAACCCCATCTCTACTGAAAATGCAAAAAAAAAAAAAAAAAAAAATTAACCTGGCATGGTGGCAGGTGCTGGTAATCCCAGCTAGTTGGGAGGCTGAGGCAGGAGAATCACTTTAACCCGGGAGGCAGAGGTTTCAGTGAGCTGAGATCATGCCATTGCACTCCAGCCTGGGCGACAGAGTCAGACTCTATCTCAAAATAATAATAATAATAATAATAATAAGTGGTTAATTAAAACATAAATTATTTCTATCATTAATATATGCACGTTAGTTTTCAAACTTAATTTCAAAAGAATTATTATGTAAACAGCAACCCTGTATCCCACTGCTTTCAGATTTTTTCCTTTCCTCTAAGTAATATATCTATTTCTTAATTTACTTCAGGCATTATCTGTTGACTTCCTGTTACAACCCACCTCACTTCTTCATACTCAGTTTTTATAGTCATAGTTTGCATTATTAAGTAGGTACCTAAAATATCACTTCCTGTAGAACCAAATAGTATCTATGATTACATTTCCTCCTTTTACAACTTTTTGTTTTTCCCAAACTGAGTAACTGCTTCACCTTCTCTTTCTCATATTTGCTAATTTCAGTGTAGAGATCCTTAATTTTTCCTTCAGGTTGTCCCATGTCTACTGATAGTATTTTCAAATATTTACGTAAGTCAGATAGTGTATCAGTTGCCCTTTTTCCTGGAAACTTCTGTGCCAGAGACCTCTGCATTCCTGTTCCTGTGCGAGCTGGCTGCATATGGCTCCACTGCTGAGCTGTCCTGATTTGAGCCCCTGTTTCTTCCATCCCAGGTCTTCCATCTCTTGGTTAACACCCTCACTTTGCTGAAGCATGGCCTGCTGTAGTTTCTTATGAAATGATGTATAGAAGGTAGATGTCTTATGATTGTGCATTTATAAAGATATCTTTAGTCTGTTCTCAGAACTGATTGCTTTGGCTAGGGCTCGCACTTATTGTCAGAGTTTCACCAACTACTCCAGGTCAGAAGCCTAGGCCTGAGTCTTACCTCCCACTGGGCCTTTTCTCCTTCGTTTCTCTGGAAAATACATTTAGACACCTGTAATTTCTCAGGTCTACTAACAGTTACCTATCTGCTTTCTAGCTTCCGAATTTTATAGACATGTTTCTTCTTTTCTCCTTGACATTTCTTCAGTTTTCTCTGTTCTTGTGGGGCTTCCCCTTAATTTCTTTTAATATTATTTTGCAGGGATACCAGCATGGAATACAAACTGTCATTTTAAAACAAAAAGCCTTAACTAGTTTTATTTTCCCCTTGGCATAGAACAATTTGTTATTTTCGCTCACAGTCCTGCGGATTGGCAGCCTTAACTGAGCAGTTCTAACCCCAGGCCTCTCCTGGTTGCCGTGAGACAGAGGCCAGTGCTGATGTCTTGAGTGGGCTGGACATCAAAGATGGCTCCTTTTCATGACTGCAGTTTGTGCCGCTTGCTGACTTGGGCACTGACATTTGGCCCCTCCATGTAGCTTGGATGGGACAGATACCCAGGATCTCAATGGGGAGCATGCCAGGAGCCAAGGGTTTCAAGAGGCCTAGTTGTTTTTTTTTTGTTTGCTTAACTAGTTTTTTTTTTTTTTTAATGAAAATATTTGGCCATGATAAAAGTTTAGACTAGAAAGGAGTATTCGATGAAATCTTCCTGCACCTGAGAGCCTTGAGAGCCTTACTTACGATATCTGGAGGCTTACTACTGTTATTTCAGAAATTGAGTATTCAAGCTTGTATGTTTATATCCCCCCTCCCTTTTTCTTACACAAGTAAGAGTATCTCTTCTCTACCATTTTTTCCACTTCATATATTAATAGCTTATGGATGGATTTATATTGGTACATCTACATCTATCATTATTTCTACATCTATCATTATTAATAGCTTATATATTGGTACATCTACATCTATCATTATTTCCATGTCTGCAGTTACATCTGTGTTGATGTACAGCAATAGCTGAGAGGTAGAATGTCAATATATGAGGTGATTACTGTTTTCTCCTTTGGGTTTGCTATACTTTATGCTTGAGAATAACATCTCAATTGAATGTGGACAGATAGTGTAATTCATTTTCTTTGTTGTTTTCTTTTTATACATTTTGTATATGATAGCCTCCCATCCAGCCCCTTTTTAGTAATTCTTTTTTCTTTTTTTTTTTTTTTGAGACGGAGTTTCGCTCTTGTTACCCAGGCTGGAGTGCAATGGCGCGATCTCGGCTCACCGCAACCTCCGCCTCCCGGGTTCAGGCAATTCTCCTGCCCCAGCCTCCTGAGTCGCTGGGATTACAGGCACACGCCACCATGCCCAGCTAATTTTATGTATTTTTAGTAGAGACGGGGTTTCACCATGTTGACCAGGATGGTCTTGATCTCTTGACCTCGTGATCCACCCGCCTCGGCCTCCCAAAGTGCTGGGATTACAGGCTTGAGCCACCGTGCCCGGCCAGTAATTCTTTTTTCATATATTACTTTTGAACTCTACTTCTATGAAGTATAAGCAGTATTTCTGTGGATAACACCCCCCCATGGGCACCGAGGAAGGAGAACTATCCAAACCCCAGGCAAAATTAGTGCCTGAAGAATATCTTAGTTTATAGTGTTATTACTCAGCTATTTCCTTTATGTAATCCTTTATATATAATCATATATTAGTTTATAGAATTAGTGCCTGACGTATAACTTACTGCTTACATATATCTGGCTTATATAATCATACTTAATACTTATATCTAGCATACTTAGTTCTATATAATCTTTCTATATAATCATATAGGTATTGTAGTCGGAGCTGTACTGACACAGTGCTGATTTATAGAATCCTTCTATATAACCATATAGTAGTTTGTAGTAGGAGGAATGCCTAGAGCAGTCACAGAACAGAAGCAGTACATGGAAAATAGCCAGACCAGGACAAGAACCGAAGACCCAGGCGGTGGCATCCCTGCCTGAAAGGGCATACACTGTATGGCAGGCTTGGAGCAAGAGCCTTTCCTCCTGATAAAGGAGTTATAGTACCTTGCATCCAGTTTCTGTGGAAAGTAGGC